GCAGATCTTACAATACTGTCTTTCATCCCTAAATACAAAGTTTTAAAAATTATATTATCTAGTCCCTTTTCTCAAATAGTATGTATGAAACTTTACCTGCCAATCACATGACCAGCAACACTGCAGGGCATCTCAACAGAGCTCACATATTTTAAAACAGTATACATGTAGACTGGATTGTTGAACATCATGGCACTCTATTTCCTAAGAAACTCACTTAGGAAAGCACTAGAAAATAGCAAACAATAGTACAGAACACAGGCCAGTCAGCAAAGACTTTATGGGGACCTTCTGAAGGGTCCGTTCAATCTTATTGATTCTAGATGGAGGAGTCTGAGTAGTGAAGAGCTTACATGAGTAAACCCAACTCAAAGGACAGCCAGTGAGTTATAATAGAATTGCATGGACAAAGTCACAGAGAATGACTTACCAACAGAATGTCTACAGATAAAGAAACAATCTTGGAATTGCTAATTGAATTTGAAAATGAAAAATGTGTTTTATCCTTGGTACTAAATCTAAAGTATAATTGTTTGAGTGTTTGCTAACCCAAGAATATGGGTTATCATTTCCTTGATAAAACAATCTCGCTTTTAATAAGAACAAAACCTTACAAGAGGAAAAAAAGGCAAAGAAATTCAATGATAAATTGTGTGTGATTAGCAAGGTTTTAAAGGGCCAAAATAAAAATGCTATGATATGGTTCTTCAGGCGTGCTCACTCACGGCAAGCTGTACTTTCCATCAGTGGAGGAGAGCACGCTGAGCAAAACTTCCTTCTGATTCAGAGTCGCACTGCTCTGACAGCATACAGGATGGCCATGGCCAAACAATAATTCATATTAACTCTTAACATCATAAATACTCATTAAGTATTAAGGTTTCTGTCTTAGTTACTGTTCTGTTGCTATGAGGAGAGTTCATGAGCTAAGTAATTTACAAAAGAAAGCTTTTTTTTTGGGGGGGGGATTTTTTCGAGACAGTTCTCTGTAGTTTTTGGTGTCTGTCCTGGAACTAGTTCTTGTAGACCAGGCTGGCCTCGAACTCACAGAGATCGCCTGCCTCTGAGTGCTGGGATTAAAGGCGTGCACCACCACCGCCCAGCAAAGCATCAGTTTCTTAACTTATTATTAATTATTGATAAAAATGTCATACCCATGCCATCCAGACAGCTCAGTGAGTAAAGAAGCTTGCCACCAAGCCTGGCAACCTAAGTTTAATCCCTACCCACCCATGGAAGAAAAGAATAAACTCCTTTAAGCTGTCCTCTGACTTCCAGAAGTATGCTATGGGCACATGCACCAAAGAAAATAAATAAATAAAAATAAAAAAAATTCCAATGCAAAAACAGAAGTCATCTCCTTGAGGAGTGCATAAATAAGACAAGGATAACATGGGTTCCAGTTCCCTTCATGTTATGTTTTAGAAGAACTCACGCCGTTGGTGGTGGCAGCTCACGCCTTTAATCCCAGCACTTGGGAAGCAGAGGCAGGCGGATCTCTGTTAGTTCAAGGCCAGCCTGGTCTACAAGAGCTAGTTCTAGGACAGGCTCCAAAGCCACAGAGAAACCCTGTCTCAAAAAAAAAAAAAAAAGAGAACTCACTAAGCAGAATATGTCTGTTTTACACACCTTTCTATATTTGAAAAGAAAAAACAACTTTCTTTAAAAAAAAAAAAGCTTTAGAGTCAATGCTTTATATGAAAATGTTTAGTACTGAGATCCAAATTCAGACCTGTTTCCTCTTCAACGTCTGTCTAGGTTGGCTGTAAAATATGACTCCCTTACCCAAGCTTCAGGTTACTAAAAGTTCCCTACCTCCACCTGTGCACTCAGGCCCAATTATCCTCTTCTGTGAACTCCATACGAATAAGAATGAGGAAGAGGAGAAAGAGCAAGAAGGAGGAGAAAAAGCTGAGGAGGATCATCCAGACCTCATTTCTGGAAAATCTCTCCTCACAGACAAGCTCACAACCCTCTTCCACCAGACCAACTCTACACATTGCTCTCGATATTTTTTCCACTGCTCTCATCTCGACGCCATCTCTGTCTCTGCGCTGAATAGGTTTCTGAGATCTTCCTACTAAGGAAAACCTTACAAGGGACACACCTGGCATGTGTATTCTCGGACCAACAGAGGCCATATAGAAGTCTCAGGTTCACCCCCTAATGTCATCACACCTCTTTCTCACCTGGGACTTTATTCACTCATTCCTCATCTGCTCATCTCAAGATTGATACAATATCTGGTATTTTGTCTCTCCAAAGCCCTCTTGGCAGAATGTCTGTAAGACCTCCCTACAAACCCTCTGTCTACTCACTCACAATCCCTGCACAACTGCCTTATTTTCCTTATTTACCAGCTGAATGCATAAACTGGAGATGGCTCAGTGGTTAAGAGCATTGCCCGCTCTTCCAAAGATCCTGAGTTCAATTCCCAGCAACCACATGGTGACTCACAACCATCTGTAATGAGGTCTGGTGCCCTCTTCTGGCCTTCAGGCATACACACAGAAAGAATATCGTATACATAATAAATAAATATAAAAAAAATAAACTGGGACTTTTCAATTAGTACTTCTAAAATTCCAAAGGCCTCCTACCTTCTCCTGCCTTCCCCTTCCATAGTTAACCCCTTCTGCTTCATTCATTCACTTATTTTTTGAGGTAGGGTGTCCAGTAGCCAAGGATGACCTTGAACTCCTAACTTCGTGCCTCCTGGTCCCAAGTGCTGGGATTACAGAGATTGCACCCAGACTTCTCCAACTCTTCAGGATCAGTTCATTCCCATTATTAAGAATCAACCAGACCTCATCACTGTTTAGAAGCCAACTTCCCTGACCCAGTATAGGGTTTTCTCACAAACTGACTGTAAGCTCAGGGCACAGGCAGAATCTTAGGTCTTTTTGTATGAGCAGGCCAAGCATTATAGGCACCTATCAGTCATCTAGCAAATGAATGCTCAGACATGACCAGCGCATTACATAAATGCTGACATTCTGTGTCAAAGTACTTTTTTCTCTAGTAAAGTAAGGACAATGCCACACCTAACTCATAAGGATTAAATGGGGTAGCGAGCTCTTAGTAAAGCACAGTGTCTAACACAGAGAACTACCATTTGAATGCCTGCTATCTCATGTCTTAGTTTTACTAACATATCCTTGGATGTGTAATGTGAGCAAAGTCAGGCAGAATGGCTAGGAAACTCTCCTGTCTTCCTCATGCATCCACAAGCCACTGGTTACCTTCTGATGAGCAGTAGCTATATGCTATGGAGCTACCCCATGCAAAAGGCCTTACTAGGTATCTCACTAAACAAACTAGAAGTAAATTATGACAAAAATTTACACCAACATCCAGAAGAGAAAAGAATGAACACACAATACGAGCATCCACACAAACTATGCAGGTTTTGCTTACAGTAATAAAAGGCAGCTTCAAGAAAAATCACCGGTGGGACTGGGTGTGGTGGCCCAAGCCTGAAATCCCAGCAATTGGGGAGCCTGAGGCAGGATTATTTTTGTATGCTTGACCAGCCTGCCCTGCAATGAGGCCCTGTCTCAAAAAGAAAACAAACAAACAAATAACAAAAAAGGCCAGAGAAATTACTGGTGGAAAAAGATCAAAACTGTCTTATTTAAAAAAAAGAAAGAGAGACTGATGGCTGTTCCAGTTGCTAGGTTTCACTTTTGTTTGGAAGTAGTTCTTAAAAAGGAAACTTAAATGTGATCAGGACAGAGAGATAGATGCAGTCTCACTCAAATGGGAATTCCATAAGATATTCCCCCAGGTTTTTCCCAATTCATACTTAACTCTGTGGCTCTGAGAACTGCCCCAGCTTCATCTGCTTCTCCACTAAATCAAACCCTGTTATTTACTAGCCTCTTACCAAAAATTACAGGACTATACAAATCATATTACCTACTATTAGAATAGAGAAGAGGGTACGGGCTTAAAACTATTCCCCCCATCAAATCAAGAGGTCGAGTCCCAGTGAAGTTTGTGCTATTACACTTCACTGGTTTCAGTAGGAGCAGAGAGACCTCTAGCGCTACCTCAATAAGCGGAGTTTGCAAATAGTATCAGCTAATGTCACCTTAATGAGACAATGGCAACATGCTGAGTAGCAGCTAACTGAGTGACCACAATGAATGTTTACAGTTTTGCAACCACTTGGAAAATCTACCAGCCTGGTAGCATGTGGTATACACAAGGACGTAGGAATCGATGTGTCCAATTCATTTCGGCAAAACGGGTCAAAGAAATTATTTCCCTACGAGTCACGCTCCCACTCCAAGAGCTTTAAAAAAAAGAAAAAAAGAAAAAAAAAAAGAACCCCAGATCAGAGGGGTCTGCATAACCTCCTTCTCAAAGCTTCAACACAATGGATGGGTAAACTATTGTCCACCTTTAGCTCGCTCCAAATGCCAGCAGTCACAGGAGTATGAGCTGCAACAGCTCGGGAAGACTGATCCAAAGGACAGCACTGGAATATAAGAAAATGGTCTTGGCGCATCCTACCCTCCCCCATCCACCACCCTCAAACAAGTCAGTTACCCGGCTGGTCCCCACCCCCCTCTGAGGGCTGCCACCGCCCGCCTGGGCCCGGCTCGCACAAGGTAGGCGCTGGGACGGAGGCTCCATGTGCGGCAGCGCGGGAGGCTGCACCGGCTGCGGACGCGAGCGGCGGCCGGGCCCCGGCGGTGCGGTCGGCACGCGGGGCGGCAGCATCCCGGTCCGTCCTCCCGCGCGGCCCGCGGACCCCGCCTCGGCTCCACATCCCTTCCCCTCCGACAGCAGGCCGCGCCCGCGCGGCGGCGCCGAGCGCCCAGCGGTCCCCGGTGTCCGCGCTGGCCGCTCAGAAGGCGGCTGCAGCCCGGGCCGCGGCGCCCCGAGGCGGCGGCCAACTCCGACTGACCGCCAGCCGGCGAGAGCCAGCGGCCACGGGCCCCTGCCCCTCCCCTCCCGGCCGCCCGGCCCGGCCAGACGCGGAGCACACTCGCCTCCACATCGCGGCCCTTGTTCTTGAAGCTCTTGATGCGGTGGTTCTCCAAGCCGGGGTTCTCGGCCATGGCTGCGCGCGGCTCCGGCGGCGGCTGCTCCTGCGGCGGCGACGGCGGCGAGTCGAGCGGGAGGGGACGGAGGGGGAGGAGCGCGCGCTCCGTGACGCCCGGAGCGCGAGGTAGCCGCGGCGCGGGGGCGGTGCTGAGGAGCGGCGCGCGCCGGGAAAGGCCGGGGCGCTGGCCTGCTGGCTGTCGCGGTGACCCTGCCCTCACCCCACCATAGGGCCTCCCCACCGCCGCTAGTCATGTGCTAGAAATGGAGCCCGACCTAGCAGCTTTTACCGCCACCCCTGACGTGGGGCAGCGGGCGGGAACTACAATTCCCAGTATGCCCGGCGCCGGTCTGAGCCACGCCGGGAGAGGACGAGGAGCATGCCGGGAGGGCTGTGCGCGCGCTTTCGGCGCGGCGATCTCCGAGCGCGGGCTCGAAGCCCCACCTCTGGGCGGAGTGATGGGCGGGGCTTCCCCGGCGATGGCACCTTGCGGCCTATCGGGAGCGAGAGGCGGGGCTCCCGGGGGCGCACCTTGCTCCCTACCGCTTGGAAAATTAGAAAAAGAACGGCCACGCGTGTTCTGCGCTTTTGGCTTCTTTGGGGTCTCCTCAAATAGCAGCCACCCCCAAACCCTTTTCTCTTGCTCTGCCTCGGTTTTATAAATAGCATGTCTGTTTCCACTCCCCAAGATACATGACAGTGTGATGTGTGTGTTTATGCTTGAGTTACCTTGCTCGCAACGTTAAGAAGCTCAACAAAGCAACAGACTTTGTTGGTCTCAAGAATCTGTCAGATCAAAGCCGGGCGGTGGTGGCGCCGCCTTTATGCACTCGGGAGGCAGAAACAAGCGGAGCTCTGTGAGTTCGAGGCCAGCCTGGTCTACAAGAGCTAGTTTCAGAACAGGATCCAAAGCCACAGAGAAACCCTGTCTCAAAAAAGAAAAAAGAAAAAAAGAATCTGTCAGACCAACACAGTAAGTTCTCTCAAGAAGAAGAAAAAACCAGAGTTCTAGCATGCCCTGATTTCTCCCAAACATCCTTGTGCAACCTCCACTTTGGCAGCCCTACCTTCCTGTGTCTCCACACCTCGCAGTCCACCTTAACACATAATCTAGCCTTCCGGCTATAATCAGGCTCTGTGGCAGCAGACTCCAGCTCGCCTTCTCCCTTTAGCGTCATGGAAGAAATAACAGAGAGAAATTTGGAACAATAACAGCTTTTTTTTTCAGCAGGTGGACCTTGTTTATGTATTAGAATATTACATTTCAGAATCTTCTGCAGATGTCAGCCCGGATGCAGTGTGATCGAAATGAGCCGGGTCAGTTTGGTAGAAATATACCATAAAGAATTCAGTTAAGATAATCTTCAAAAGAAAAGAGACCTGAAAGAACCTGAGGGCCAAGAGTTAGGAACTGAAAGGCCTCAGTGGTCAAGCTGTCACCCGCATTTGTTTTGTGAGTGGCCAGTTGTGTGGCCAGTTGGTGACTACAAACCCATGTAAAGATTTTACACCATCTTTGCCCTGTTGGAGTGTGATCTACTGATGCCAGAAGTGCTTTCTCAGGGAAAACAAAAAACTGTTCTCTTTTTTTCTCTATTTTATTTTTTTAAAACTATTTTAACTGTACTCTCCTCTTTTTCTTTCTTTTTTAAAAATGAATTAATTGAAATTTTTCACTGGTCTTCTTTGATCCTGGTCAGATCACTCATTTGAAGGAGACAAACAACAAAACAAAAGAAAGAAAGGGGGGGGGGAACACTTACCTGTGGTTAGCATTACGATAACAGCTCAGTCTTCAGTAGTGGAACTTTTTTGTTTGCCACTCTCGATCGACTGGAAGGAAAACGTACACCATAGCGCAGTTTCCTTTATCATTTGCCAGGAATTCCCTTGTGAGGGCTTTATCTCCTCTGCCACCTCTCTTTACCTAGGACACATTTAGTGAGTGCTTCCCCAGTGTCAGACAGAGCACTAAGGCTAGAATCCCCTGGTAATAGAGCCACGTGTTTACAGCCTCCAACCGACTTCTTCTTTGCCAGAAAAGAAAGATGCTAAAACAGCAATGAGCCCCGTGGTGTGGTAGGCATTGGGAAAGCAGCCCAAGGCCCACGAAAGATTCCCTTTCTCACATGCTCCTGATGTTTGCGGGTCTCGAAGCAAGATAGCAAGTGAATGCCATGTTTACGTGCTTAAAAGCTATGAAACAATCTAACAGACTTAAATAAAAATGTGACTTCAGAAACTGACAAATAAGCCCCTTATAATGACCTAAAAGTCTGGGCTTGAATTTACGTTTCCTGATTTACGATTCTGTTTCAGAATGCTGCTGGAAGCTGGGCAGTGGTGGCACATGCCTTTAATCCCAGCACTTGGGAGGCAGAGGCAGGCGGATCTCTGTGAGTTCGAGACCAGCCTGGTCTACAGAGCTACTTCCAGGACAGGCTCCAAAACCACAGAGAAACCCTGTCTCGAAAAAAAAAAAAAAAAAAAAAAAAGGAATGCCGCTGGAGTAGACCTGGATGCTGACCAAGTCAGCAGCCCAAGAACAGTGTTTCCTGTGGGCATTTTATCTTGTCAACTAGCCTGGACTTAGTGTCACCCAGGAAGCTGGTGAGGCACACCTCTGAGTGTGTCTACGTGGGCTTACCCAGAGAGACTCAGAACTGAGGATGGGATTGACTATTTGAGCACAGAACCCTAGTGCCCTGGTGAACCAAAGATTACGCTAGTGCCATAGAATTCCTTTGCCCAGGGGGAGGGCTGCCACCAAACGTCACAGAAAAGCAAATTCCAAAGCAGGATCCCTCCTGGCTGAGGTTTAACTTGCTCGTTTTCACTTTTTGGCATTGCCCTGGTGACTTCAGCATCCACACATTATGTACCCTGGTTCCAGTGTCTCTCAGCATCCTTAACTTCATCAGATTTTTGCCTCATCTAGCCCCCAGCGGGTCTGGAGTCCTTCAACTCTGGAGAATAACCACCTCCAAGGCCTCAGATGTGGGGCTTCTCGCTGTGAATGACCCTTTTCTCCCCTACCTCTCAGTGACCCGATACTGCTCCTGACGATGTTTCTTTACATTGTATTTGTTTTCTTAGCTTGTTTTGAGTATGAAAATCAAGACAGGATGCTTGACTAGCCTCACTATGCACACACTCCTCTCCTCTGTACTACGTGAGGGAACGGGGACCTCCCAGGTGGGGAGGCGCTACCTAAGGACGGAAGGAACGGTGCACGCAGTGAGTCTGCATACACTTGCTCTGTTCTTCCACACACTGTCCTGGGCTGTCAGTATCGCCCACATATTGGTCATCTTGGATTGAATGGACAAATAACATTTTTCTGAAGAAATTTTGCCAACCTAACATCTAGCTTTGAGGCTCTCCCTTTAAAGTATGCAGGTTAAGTGGTTTGACATGGATAAAATGTGACTTCTTCCTCCAGCTGCTCCGCCCTCTCCTCCCTCTTTGCTCAGATGTGCCTCCCCAGGCAAAGACATGTTCTCTGCAGTACACGATGGCAGCTAGTACCCGGCTATGGCTAGCTACATTTCAATTAATTAAAATTAAATTAGCTCCTCCAAGATACTAGTTTCATTTCAAGTGTTCACTAGCCTCCATATTATGCCCGCAGTATTGGGCAGCGGAGCAGTCTATAGACGCCCTAGAAAGAACACAGGTATAGGGACAGAAAGAACCTCATCTTTTCTGTCCCCACTTCATGTTTTCTTAGACTCTCAACAATGGACACACTTTCAAAATTTCAATCAAGCTATGAAATAGAAATGCAAATACTTGTGAAGTGTTTGGCATAACGCCCAATGCATTTTAACTGCTTAATAAATTATAAATGAATAAAGGTCAGAAATTCGAACTTTTTCAGGAACCCCCTAAACAACATAGGTTATTGCCACTGCTCCCGGTTGCCCCCGGAAGTAAATGATTATTAGACCCTATTGCTGAAGGCACAGCATGCTGTTTATGGGACATAGAAAAATCAAGCTGGGACTGACCTGAACACTTCGTCCCCACTGGCTAGCCTTCATGGTGCCAGACGGTGCTACACAGGTAAACAGGAGAGAGAAAACAGCAGTAGTCTTACCCCCGGTGACCTCTGCACTGTACAGCGCCAACCTGCCAGACAAGATGTGCTGGTTGGAGGAATAGTGAGTGGCATGGCCGTTATGTTAGGGGTAGCTCACCAACCACCTTTGATTGAATTTGAGGTCTGTTCCACGGGAAAGAATTCTTGCCTGGTACTGTAAGTCTAGTCAAAAGCCCTAGAGGGGAACCTACTGCTGTTGTCTTTCTAAATAGACCTGTTGTCAAACTGCCTTCCAGATGTTGGTGTGTGTACGCATAGATTAGTGGCTGCTCCCAGCCTTGGCCAGAGAAGCTCCTCTCCAGCGAGCAGCAGGTAAGCGAAGCAAAGACTCGTAACTAGTCAAAGTGCTAAGAAAAAGTGACGGCGGAGCGCTCATCCCTACCTGGGACATTGACAACAAAGGGACAGAATGTGTGACAGAAGTTGTGTGATGTGCTGTGTTCTGGCCATAACACGGCCGTCACACCCTTGAGCTCACTGCCGCGAGGGTCACCTGCACAAGCAAGCCAGCATCAAAGGGAAGCACGGTTGGATTAAAAGGGGCTTTCTAAGACAGAGAGAGAAGAAAGAAGAGAGGGAGAGAGAGAATACATGAAGTAGGGTGAGGGACATGTTGTGGGGTGACTACAGGGACTACGAGGGAAGAGTTGGAGGTTGCTGTGATAAAGATTCATTGTTTATGTTTCAAATTGTTAAAGAACAAATAAAAAGTAGTCTATTTAAAACTTTTGAGATCGGGCGGTGGTGGCACAGGCCTTTAATCCCAGCACTCGGGGTAGAGGGAGGAGGATCTCTGAGTTCAAGGCCAGCTTGGTCTACAGAGCTAGTTCCAGGACAAGTTCCAAAGCTACACAGAGAAACCCTGTCTTGGAAAAACTACAAAAACAAAACAACAAACCAGTAAAACTTTTGAGATTCAACTTAGACCTGAACTTTACCATTAGATCCTCAGTGCTCAGCAAACTGCTGGACACCCCCCCCCCCCCCCCATCAAACCACATTTAAAATACCGTACAAACTAGACACGGTCATTCGTGCCTGTGATCACAGCACTCTGATGGGGAGGCAGAAGGATCATGAGCTTGGAGCCAGGCTACCCTACAGTGCAAGACTGCTTTTAAAACAATTAATGAGTTGACTAATAAAATGGTAATAGAGAATATCTGCATGGTTTTGTTTCTTCCTTCTATCGAATAAAAAAATTGTCTCAGAGGAAC